ACACGGGGACAGTCTGGGGGACAGGGGAACAGGGGGGATGGGGCTGGGAAGGGACGGGGGGCTTTGGGGGGAACAGGGGACTGGGGGTCACAGGGACTCTGGGAGGGGACAGGAGGCTCTGGGGGTCACAGGGGCTCTGGGGGTGACGGGCCCTAGAGGGGACAGGGGGCTCTGGGAGGGGACAGGGGGCTCTGGGGGTCACAGGGGCTCTGGGTGTGGCGGGCCCTGGAGGGGACAGGCAGCGAGTGGCGTGCCGCCCCGCTGCCGCAGGAACCCGTCGCTGAAGCAGCAGCTCTTCTCCTACGCCATCCTGGGCTTCGCGCTCTCCGAGGCCATGGGGCTCTTCTGCCTCATGGTGGCCTTCCTCATCCTCTTCGCCATGTGACCGCGGGCGGTGGCAGCCAATAAAGACGGTTGGGTGACAGCCCGAGCTGCTCGCGTCTGCTTGGTGGCCCGGGCCAGTGTCACCTGCCTGCGGCTGCCTTTGTCCCCGCGGGGTCCCCCAAGGGGCTGATCCCCGGGGGCTCCTGGGCTGCCACCCCGGCTGGCACCCTGACTGTCCCTGCGGGACACCGGGGCCGCGGGGCCGGAGCCAGGACCGGGTGTCGCCGGTGCTGGGGAGACAGTGCCAGCCGTGCCCAGAGGCCCGAGCCCAGCCGTGCCGGGATTCGGGGGTGCCTGTGAGCCGGAGGTGTCCCGGGCTGTCCCGGGGCTGTTCCGGGGTTGTATCCCGGCTGTCCCAGGGCTGTCCTGGCCGTATCCCGGGGGTATCCCGGGGCTGTCCCGGGGGTGTCCCGGCTGTATCCCGGGCTGTCCCGGCTGTATCCCGGGCTGTCCCGGCCGTATCCCGGGGGTGTCCCGGGGCTGTCCCGGGGCTGTCCCGGCTGTATCCCGGGCTGTCCCGGCCGTATCCCGGCTGTATCCCGGGCTGTCCCTGGCTGTCCTGGCCATATCCCGGGGCTGTCCCGGCTGTATCCCGGGGCTGTCCGGGCTGTCCCGGGGCTATCCCGGGGCTGTCCCGGGGCTGTCCCGGCTGTATCCCGGGGCTGTCCCGGCTGCATCCCGGGCTATCCCGGGGCTGTCCCAGGGCTGTCCTGGCCGTATCCCGGGGCTGTCCCGGGGCTATCCCGGGGCTGTCCCGGGGCTGTCCCGGCCGTATCCCGGGGCTGTCCCGGCCGTATCCCGGCTGTATCCCGGGCTGTCCCGGGCTGTCCCCTCTCCCCACGTGTCGCGCTCCCCGCGGGGCCTCCCGGGCGGGGCCTATCGCTGGCCCCGCCCACTGTATGCGGTGACCACGCCCCTTCACCGCCCAGGCCCCGCCCCCAGGGTGTCCCATTGGCCGCCGCGCCGTTACCTCCCCGCGGGTCTCGCGAGAGCCTGGCGCGCGGGGCCGGGGGGGCGGCGGGAGCCCCAGCGCGAGCGGCGCCAGCGCGAGGAGCCGGCCCGGCTCCCTCAGGCTCCGGGGGCGGCGGGAGCCCCGGCCGGCCCCTCCCCCCACAACTCTCCCCGAGTTTTCGTGCGGCGGCGGCTCCGCCCGCCCCGCCCCCGCGATGAGGGACAGCGCGCCCCGGCCAATCGCATCGCGCGCCGCCCCTGAGCGGCGGGCACGGCGGCCAATGGCGGGCGAGGGGGCGCCGCTGTGTGGCCAAGCCCCGCCCCTGGGGCGGGGCCGAGGAGCAGCGAGGGGCCCGGGCGGTGCCGGGGGGAGCCCGGAACGGGGCTGGGGGCACAAGAGAGCCCCGGGATGGGGCTGGGGGCTGTGAGGGGCTGAGGAGAGCCCGGGATGGGGCTGGGGGCACAGGGGAGGGGGCTGTCATGGGGTGTGGGGGGCTGTCAGGGGGTCCAGGGGGCTGTCAGGGGGTCCAGGGGGCTGTCAGGGGTTCGCTGCCTGCCCTGGCACTGGGGCGGGAGCAGCAGGAGGGGCGCACGTCAGGAGCTGGAGCTGGAGTTTGTTCTCCATCAGGGGAACTGAGGCTGGGGGCTCCCTGCACCTGCACCTGCGCTGGCACGGTGCGGGGAGTGCTGCCTCAGTGTGAGCACACACACCCTGCTGGTGTGAGCACACACACACTGTTAGTGTGAGCACACATTGCTGGTGTGAGCACACACACACTGCTTGTGCCTGGCTCAGGTGTGAACACACACACACACTGTTAGTGAGCACACACACGCTCCTGGCTCAGTGTGAGCACACGCTGCTGTTCCTGCTCCGCTCTCCCCTCCTGCCCCTTTCTGTGCCGCTCTCCCCTCCCTGCCGCGTCCCCTCCGAGGTGTCCCCATGTCCCTGTCCGGGTCCCTGTGAGCACTGTCCCTGTGGGAGTGGCACGGAGTGCAGCAGTTCCCGTTCGTCCCCAGGGCTGAGTGCTCCCCAGGAGCTGTCCCTACAGCAGCTCTGGGCAGGGTCCAGCGGGGCTGGGGGCTTTCTGTGCTGGGGTCTCTCAGCAGAGCCGGGAGCAGCTGCAGAGGCCAGGCTGGGCAGAGGGGCTCAGAGCAGCAGGGTCCTCAGGCAGGGCAGGGGCACAGCCCTGCCCCCTGAAGGGAGGGCCGGGGGTCCCAGCCCTGCTCCCTGCATGGGGGAGTCACAGCCCTGCTCCCTGAGGGGGGTCAGGGGGTCCCATCCCTGAGGGGGATCAGGGGATCCCATCCCTGAGGGGGGATCAGGGGGTCCCATCCCTGCTCCCTGAGGGGGTTCCCATCCCTGCCCCCTGATGGGGATCAGGGGGTCACATCCCTGCTCCCTGAGGGGGATCAGGGGGTCCCATCCCTGCTCCCTGAGGGGTTCCCATCCCTGCTCCCTGATGGGGATCAGGGGGTCCCATCCCTGCCCCCTGAGGGGGTCCCATCCCTGCCCCCTGAGGGGGTCCCATCCCTGCTCCCTGCTGGTTTCAGCTCCTGGCCCAGCCCTGCTCCAGCCCCATCCCCGAGGGCTCAGCCCCGCTCAGGAGAGGGTTTTGGCCCTGCTGCTGTGGGTTGCTCGGGGTTGCAGCGGGCAGGCGCTCTCCCTCTGCCTGTTTTGGGAGCCCCAGCCCAGCCCTGTTCCTGTGGAAAAGCTCCTGGGTTTGGGTGCCCTGCTGCTCTGAGCTGTGGGACACCGGGCACTTCCCCGGTGGGTTGTGTCCCCCAGGAATTCCAGCCTTTTCCCGGGGTTCATCCGTGTTTTCCTGCATGCCTGGGCTGTGCAGCAGAGCCCTGGCATCTCGGAGCAGGCTGCACACAAACTGTGGGAATGCCAAACCTCCCTCTGCCATTCCTCTTTCTCTCTGCCCGGGGCCGGTCTCTGACGTGCGTTTCTGTTTTATTTCTGCTTTCTGGAGGTTCCGTGTTCCCAGGGCTCTCCCCGTTTCCCAGCAGCTCCCTTCAGCTGCAGGTGCCGGGTGCTCCCAGGGGCGCTGAGCCCACCTGGGCAGGTGCAGGAGCTCCTCTCGGGGCAGGTCTGGCGCTGCCGTGGCATCCCTGGAGGGACAAAGCCAAACCCAACTCCAGCTCCTGATTCGTGTCCTTGTTCCCATTTCCTCCGAAATCCCCCTGAGCCGGGCCGAGGGTGCATTCCAGGGGGATCTGGGGTGGGAACCCCCCTGGCGCTGGGAAATGGGGAACTTGGAGAGAGGAAGCACCAGCGGGGGTGGGGTCCAGCTGAGCTTGGTGCCCCCCTGAGGAGGGGAATGCCCTGGGAGCTGCTCTGGGCTAGGGCTGCTGGGGCTGCTCTGCTGGGGCTCCCCCGGCCAGGCCCCGTGCCCACAGCCTGGTTCTGTGTGGCAGGGAAGGAGCTCTGCCTTGCCTTTGGCTTTGGACCCGTTTTCTGCTGCGTCCCACGTGATGCTGCTGCGCCTCTGTTTGGATTTATTTATCCTCGGACTTTCTTGGGGCCTTCTTTTTCTTTCCCTTTTTTTTTTTTTTCCTATTCCCATTCCTGGCACTGCGAATCAAGGACAGATTTCCCAAACTGCTCTTCCCCCCTCGTTCAGCACCAAGCTGTGCTGCAGCCAGGGAGGAAGGGTTGGAGGTGGTGAGGAATTCCCAAGGGATGCTCTCCCCCTCCCTGGGCTTGTCCCTCACCTTTCCTTTGTTTTCCTTTTTTTTTGGCATCTCTCTGTCCCCAAAACCCACAGGACTCCTTTAGGGTGCTGGTGCTCCATCCCACAAAGCTTCACTTGGAGTTCTGGGAGCTCCCATGGGGGAGTGGGGGCTTTGCTGCCCACCAAGCACAGCTCAAGCCATGGCTGCAGACCCTTCTGCAGACCCCTTTCTGCAGTCCCTTCTGCCTGGAGCATTTCTCTCTCCCCTCGGGTTTTTAGGGCTCATGCATCAAACACCCTAAAAGCCTCTGAAAGCTGAATAAGGGAAGTGCCCAGGTGGGATGGGATAATTACAGGTGGGACAGGGTGTTTGTATGGCCGTGTGGGGCTCCCTGTGTGCCCTGGCTCTGTTATTTGGGTTCACGTGTGGGTTTTTGTCGAGGTGCTCGTTCTCACCCCCGGCTCTCCCGCTCCTCGCAGCCCTGACTTTGCTCTTCCCTTCAAACCATCCACACACGTCGTCGGCAGGGAAAATATGTTCCAGCCCAGCTCGGGGCTCTCATGCCTCGTTTGCAGCAGCTTTCATTGAAACAAGGGCTCTGAAGTGGTGAAATAATTTCAGGAAATGGGACTCCAGTTTCTGGGTCACTCAGGCATTTCCGAGGTAAAATACGGCGCTCTGCGAGGCCGCGGCGCTCTCGTGTAATTACCGGGCCGGCTGAGGAGCAGTGGCTCTCCGAGGCCTTCCCTTCCTCCCGTAAAGCTGAATTATTTCCCTGCGCTGCCGTAGATCTCGGCAGGGCCGAGATGGATCGCCCCGGCGCCGAGGCCACCCCGGATCCTGCCCGGGAAATCGCTGCTCGGGGAGGGAAGATTTTCCTGCTCAATTTGGGCTTCGGGCTGAGCTTCGTGCCGGGGTCAGGCACAGGTCGTGCCCTGGGGACTGGCAGAGCTCTGGCTCTAACAGGGCTGGGAGCTCTGGAGGTGGCTCGGAGCTCCTGGGGGCTGCTCAGAGCTCCTGGGGGCTGCTCGGAGCTCCTGGGGGCTGCTCGGAGCTCCTGGGGGCTGCTCGGAGCTCCTGGAGGTGGCTTGGAACTCTGGAGGTGGCTCAGAGCTCCCAGAGGTGGCTCAGAACTCCCGAATCCCTGTGCAGGGCTGTGGCCGAGGCCAGGGTCAGTGCTGGCTGTGCTTTGCGGTGACAGGACGGGGACAACGCCCCTGTCCCCTTCCCCACAGCCCCTGGGGTTGCTCTGCAGCCCCACTGCGAGCTCACCTGAGGGCCAGGTGAGGGGCTCTGACGGGACCGGGCCACCCCAGGGCACTTCCCAGCAAGAAGTGAGGGTTTTGCACGCTCCGACACCCTGGGGCGATGAGGTTTTGGCTTTTTGGGGATCCTCTCAGAGCCCGAACACCCAGAAAGGCCCAGCCCGAGGGAGCTGCTGGGACTTGGCTGAGGTTTCTCGTTAAACACCCTGTGGCTGGGGGGGATTTGTTTCCAGCGAATTCCCTGCCAATATTCCAGTTTATACAGTTGGGTTTGCTTTGCTTTGTCAAGCCCACGAAGCGTGAGGCCGTTGTGCCTCCGAAGCAGGTTTTATAGCCCGGGCTCTTGGCCTCTTTTCCCACACGACAATTTTAAGCTCTCGCAGCTTTTTGGTTACAAAGCAAACACTCTCCCTCCTTCCCTCACACCCCAAAATAACTTGAAAGTCGGAGTTTGGGCCCAAGAGCCACCCTGGGGGGGCCTCTCTCTGCAAAACTGAAAGTCTTTCGCAATTTCCATGGGTGGATCCGGGCGAGGAGGGGCAGGGAGAGCTGTGGGCACCCCGAGGGGCAGGAGCAGCCCTGGGAGCAGCCCTGGCATGGTGTGTGGAGCTCGGGATTGCTCTGAGGGGCAGGAGCAGCCCTGGCATGGTGTGTGTGGATGGCTCTGAGGGGCAGGAGCAGCCCTGGCATGGTGTGTGGAGCTCGGGATTGCTCTGAGGGGCAGGAGCAACCCTGGGAGCAGCCCTGGCCCGGTGCCCACAGCTCCAGATCACCCCGAGGTCCCACAGCAGCGGGGATGGGGATGAGGATGAGGATGAGGATGAGGATGAGGAAGGTTGAGGATGAGGATGAGGGTGAGGATGAGGGTGAGGATGAGGTGCCAACCTGGCTCCTCAGAGCAGGTGGGACCCCACTCCCACTTTTCCCTTGGTGTTTTGAAGGAGCAGCTCGAGTCTGTTGCTCGCTCCTGTGAGGGTGGGTCACGGTGCTCACAGTCCCCCCAGGCTGGCACCCGGAGGGGACAGCGCGCCCTGGCCAGGACAGGGCTGTGTCCCTGCCCTCCCGGGTGGCCCTGCTGACCCCAGCCCGTCCCGAGGCTCGGGAAGCTCCGGGCTGGCCACCACTGCCCTCAGGAAAACCACGGGAGCCTTTCCTGGCCGGCCTCGAGCACTCGGCTTCCTTCCTCGAGCTTTCAGGGGAAACCTCGGAGGTTCTGGAGAGCCCGGGGGGCAGTGCAGGGGCACAGGCTGGGGGGCACAGCCTGGGGCACAGCTTGGGGGGACACAGCCTGGGGGACAGTGCAGGGGCACAGCCTGGGGGACAGCTTGGGGGCACAGCCCGGGGCACAGCCCTGTGCTTCCTTCTCCCGGGCTGGAAATGGCAGTCGGGGCTGCCTCCCGTCCCTGCCGCTCCCCCGGAGCGACTCGGGGCTGGCTCTGGGGTTTGTGTGTTCTGCTGGAAGCCAGAGGCTGCTCCAGCCCCGATCTGCAGCCATCCATAATAATCTCGTTTATTGTGGCTCTCCCCCTGCCCGTGCTGGGGCTGGGCCGGTGCCTGGAGCGCCGTTTGTGTTTGAATGGGTTTGTTTGTGCTCCTGGCACGGCTCCCGGGCTGGCAGGGCCGCCCGGAGGAGCGGCCGGCCGGCCAAGAGTTAACCCCATGGAGCCGGGCTGGCCAAGAGTTAACCCCACCGAGCCAGGCTGGCCACTGCTGGGCTCAGAATTAACCCATGGAGCTGGCCTGGCCTGGCACTCGCTGGGCTCTGAGAATCAGCCCCATAATGGGGTTTTATCCCCAAACTGCCCCAAAAAGCACGCAGCCTTCGTGCCAGCTCGTTCTGTCCCCCTCCATCACTGCTCTCCTGCTCTCCACACCAGCTCAGGGCACGGACTCAGCAGGCAGGAGTCACTGAGGATGGGCTGAGGGAGCCTTGCCTGGCTCCTGCCCAGCCCCAGGGGTCTGAGGATGGGCTGAGGGAGCCTTGCCTGGCTCCTGCCCAGCCCCAGGGGTCTGAGGATGGGCTGAGGGAGCCTCGGGAGCCTTGCCAGCCCCAGGGGTCTGAGGATGGGCAGAGGGAGCCTCGGGAGCCTTGCCAGCCCCAGGAGCTCCTGGCCGGAGCCTCAGTGGGCCCTGCCTGCCCCCTGCCCCCTGCCTGGGCCCAGCCTGGCCGCTGCCCCTCTCGTGCAGCTCCTCCTGGCCCAGCCCGTGCCAGCAGCCTGCTTTTGTGCCTCTCCAGGCCCAGCCTATTTTTAGGAGGCGGCTCTCGCAGCCCTGCTGGTTTTGGTTCATGGTTGGTGCAGCCCTCAGCTGTAATTTTTGTGGTCGCATTAATGTGAGGTTTATCCTCATGGTTTACGGGCATAACCCAGAATTGTGGTGTGGTGGTGGGGGAGAGAGTGCTGGAAAAGGGATCCCTGCTGGAAAAGGGATCCCTGCTGGAGAGGGATCTGTCCTGGAGAGGGATCTGTCCTGGAGAGAGATCTCAGCCAGCACAGAACAGTGTCTGCAAACCCCTCCGTGTTTTTCAGGGCCTGCACACCAGCCTGCCCCTGCCTCGGCCTCTTCCCAGGGACAGGATTTATGGGGGAATTTATCCCGGCTAAACGTGACATAAATCTGAGCACATGTGTGCGTGCAGCCTGGAGTGGCTGCTCCTGCTCTGGGAACGGGGGGATCCTCCAGGATCAGCTGGATCCTGCTCTGGGAATGGGGGGATCAGCTGGATCCTGCTCTGGGAATGGGGGGATCAGCTGGATCCTGCTCTGGGAATGGAGGGATCAGCTGGATCCTGCTCTGGGAACGGTTGGATCCTGCCTTGGGAACAGGAGGATCCTCCTGGGGCAGCCAGGAGCAGCTGGACCCATCCCGAGTTCCAGTGTCACCTCAAGGCCTGGGTGGATTTGTCCTTGAGCTGCTGCTGTCCCCTGCTCTGCCACCCCCGTGTCACTTTTGGGATTTCTGGGGCCGTTCCTGACGTTTGGGTGCCTTTGTTCCCCCTGGGCCGGGCAGGGCTTTGGCTGCCAGCCCGTGCCACTGGTGACAGGGACATTTATCCCCATCCCCGTGGGTGACAGGGACATTTATCCCCATCCCCGTGGGTGACAGGGACATTTATCCCCATCCCTGTGTGCACAGCCCCCGGAGTCTGGCTCCATGAATCCAGCCCCACGGCCAGCCCAGCTCTGCCTCCTGCCCTGTGGGAGCGCAGCTCCTCTCTCCTCAGCCGTGGGCCTCGCTGCCTGCCTGGGGGCAGAATTCCCCTCCTGCAGCAGAAAATCGCCCGTTTTGTTCATTCTCAGCAGCTCATTGATTCCTTCCTGGGGAGCAGAAGCTCCTGCCGCTCTCCCTGCCGCATTCTTGGAGCTCTTTCTCACACGGCTCCTAAAAATACCAGGCACGGCCCTGGGGGCTGCGAGTGCACCCCCTGCTCCCCCAGCCCGGCCCTCGTGGCATTCCAGCCCAGCCCAGGGGCTCTGGGAGCCCCCCGGAGCAGCCCCCCGAGGAGCCAGCCTTTGCTTTATCCCTGCTGGAAAAACGTCAGTGCCTGGAGGAGGGAACCGCTGTTTCTCGAGTTTGAGACTGGGGGGAGGGCTTTACTTTATTTACTCTTATTTTTTATTAATGAGAACAGCTTCACTTGTAGCATAATAGGAGTGAGTGTTTTGTTATCCTTGGCTGTAATCCGTGATAAACTGCCCCTGCCATCAGCCTTGTAGTTTACCCACTGGGGAGCCCGATTATTGCCTTGTAAAACGGAGCACCACTCCTATAATCCCTTAATTAATTAAATGACAAATTTTAGTTCTCTCCCATTGAAAATATAACCGGTGCAGAGAGAGGCCGTGGATTTATTTGATGGCTGCTCGCTCGCACTCTGTTTTCTGTGCATTGCCACTGTCCCTGCTGATTTGTTTGTGTGGGGGGGGATTCCAGGGCTGGCTCTGAGGGTTCCCTGACCCCATGAACACCCAGAGGGGCCGTGCTGGGGGGGCTGTGCCCTGTCCCCCCCTCAGGAGGTGACAGAGCTGCAGGACACCTCTGGGTGATGCTGGAGCCCAGGGAAGCTCCCACACCTTTCCAGGTTCCCTTCCAGCTGGAAGAACCCACCCAGTGCCTCCCAGATCCCAAACCCGGGCCGGGATAATTCCATCCCAGCGGAGGGGCGGCTCGCGCGGGTGCTTTGGGGCATTTTTGGGGCTGTTTAAGGATTTCTCTCCCTGCTCTCTCGCCAGGCTGCTGCAGGATGGGTGACGACAGGCCCTTCGTGTGCGGCGCGCCGGGCTGCGGACAGGTACTGCTGCTGGGCTGGGTGGGCTTTGGCTGCTTTGGCTTCAGGGTCAGGGTCTGATGGGGTTTTGGCTGCTCTGGCTGTGGGGTTTAATGGGATTTTGCTCTAACGGGACTGGGGCTGGTTCCCCAAGGCCTCCCCTGGGCCGTGCCCCCGTTCCGGATAAACCCACGGCCCTCCAGGGCCAGGAGGCTCCGAGTTCCTCCTCTGGAGCAGCTGGGAATGTGACAGGTGACGGGAGATGGTCCCCAAAATGCTATTTTGGGATGGGCTTCTTCCCGTGCCCTGCGGGAATTCCTCCTCCCTGAGCTGCTGCTGGGATAGGAGAGGTGGGGGAGGCTCGTCCTTCCCAGGAGCTTCCCATCCCCTTTTCCTCCCCTTTCCAGGGAAAACACTGCTCCCATCCCCTTTTCCTGCCATTTCCAGGGAAAATGGTGCTGTCCCAAAGCTGAGCTCGGGGGCTCCCTGCACTTGGTACTGGGAGGAACTGGGGTGTGATGGAATTGCTGCTGGGGCTGATGTAGTGGGAACTGCTGGGCACTGGGGATCGTGGAATTCCTGCTGGTTTAGTGGGAGCTGCTGGGCACTGGGGATCGTGGAATTCCTGCTGGTTTAGTGGGAGCTGCTGGGCACTGGGGCATCATGGAATTCCTGCTGATATAAAAACACATATTTAGGGTTTCCCAGCTTTCTGGTCATTGTGGCACGAGCCTCACCCAGATCCTTCCCTCACCCCTTGCAGGTGAACTTCCTCCTTTTGCCTTTTCTTTTTTTTCCTTTTTTTTTTCTTTTTTTTTTGGAGGCTGCTTTTTATCTGAAACTTCTTTGCCTGTGAAATTGTGCAGGCCATTTATAAAATGTATTAGCTGTGTTTGAGCACTTAATGGTGTGAGCCCTTCAATCACACAGCCCTAAAATCGGCTTCAAACAAGCAATTAAGGCAAACAACAATGTATTTAAATTTAATCTCCCACAATCTCCCACAAATGACATATAAAGGTGGCTGCTTCCTCCTCTGGCTGTTCCAGCCTGCTGCTTATGGGTAATTCCGACAATTCCTCATGTTAATATGGAAATGCTGGAATCCTGGTAATTCCGAGCGGGGTGATTCATGGGGATCCAGCCTGACCTCAGCCTGCTTTTCCCAGAACGACCTTCAGAGCAGGGCAGGGCTGCCGTGGGATCCAGGCTGGGATGGGGATCCAGGCTGGGATGGGGATCCAGGGCTGGAAGGGGATCCAGGGCTGGGATTGGGGATCCAGGCTGGGATGGGATGGGAATCCAAGGCAGGGATGGGGGAATGTCCTGGGGTGACTTTACGATTTGCCCCAGCAGCTGCTTCCTTCCCTCTGGTTTATGCCCTAAACCCCTTTTCTCCTACTTTTTCCTCCTTTTTTCTTCCTTTTTCCACTCCTTTGTTCTTCCCTTTCCCCCCCTTTTCCCCCTCCTTTTTTCCCTCCTTTTCCCCCTCTTTTTTTCCTACTTTTTTCCTCCTTTCCCTCCCTTTCCCCCTCCTTTCCCCTCCTTTTCCCTCCTTTTTCCCTGCCTTGTTCCCCTCCTTTTTCCCCCTTTCCCCCCTTTCCCTCCTTTCCCGTTTCCAGGCAGGAAGAGCTGCAGGGGCAGCGAGGAGGGCAGGGGGTGCAGGGCTGTAAACATGTTTGGGGTTGCCAGGGCTGCAGGGCTTATTTTGGGACTCTGGGAGCCCAGCTGCCCCGCGGCGTGCCGCAGATCAGATCTGCCCAGCTCGGGTGTCTGAGCCTCCCCGGGACAGCTGGAGCTTCCCCGTCCCTCTGTCCCTCTGTCCCCCTGTCCCCCTGTCCCCCTGTCCCTCTGTCCCTCTGTCCCCCTGTCCCTCTGTCCCTCTGTCCCT